ATAATTAACTATTATAGTCGGTCAAAATAAACGAAATGGTAGCCATTTACCGCTTTGCGTGGCTCCTCGTCCGCTTCCTGTGGCGGATGCACAGTTTTGTTGTATTCCAGCCATTTGCGAGGTCCGTAATTGTGTTTATTCCATTTAGTGCAAAGGCCCCCAGAGGCAGCCGTGTGCACGCCGCAGCAGTCAACGTTTTGCGTGATCGCAGGCGGCATGGCTAACAATTTTGCTGCGCTGGTTACGGGGGCGGCCGCAAGCAGCGGCGTTTGCACCGTTAGCTGCGCAATTTGCCTTATCATTTTGTGCATGGTGCTTCAGATTTGTTTTATAAAGTTGTCAAAAGATTTATAGCAATAAAAAGAACTTGAAGCACCATCGGTCGCGTAATCTGCCAGCAAACAGCTGTGTGGACACTTAAGTCTCGCACATATCGATATCTCGATAGTTCGTGGTAGATATATTTGCCGACAAGTGTAATGCTATCGATAGTAAAAGGAAATATAAGCGATCATTAATATCTTTAAAATTTTCATAATATTGAGCTATAAGTTTCAACTTCCTATTTCTTATCATACTCTGGCTGTAAAATCTTAATCTTATTGAGTAAAATATTTGTTATTTAAATAGAAACTATTATAATAAATTAAAAACAATACCTTTTATTTAAAAATTTAAAAATCTTAAAAATTAAAAAAAAAAGACTGTTCACGAACTGAATCGCGTTAGGATCTACTTGAGCCGAACTATCGAGATCATAAATCGGTTCCTTTTGGATAGCCTAAAATTTCTTAAGAAGGGCTTGCAAAGAAATTGCAAATTTATTCGGATTTCGTAGAATGATTTGAAGCAATTAAATTGTGTTTTCAATATATTTGAAAGTATATTATCGCCATTCTCTGTAATATGGAGGCGGCAGCTCGCGTTAAAACCGAAGTCGAATCCACTTACTCAAATATCATATACAAACAATCCCCAACCGAAAATGAAGATAACGCGTGCACCCCGCTGCGTGATGAAGGCGGCCAGTCGCCCCTCGGCCAGGAGGCAATTAATGCTAATGGCGCCACCGGTTGGGAGAGCGATGCTGATGATCAGGCATCAGCGCCGCCGCCACCGTCAATGTTCGTAAAGCGGAGCCCACAAAATGATTATTGCCCGACGCCATTAAGAGTAGTGACCACATTTGAACCGGAGCCGGCAGAAACTCAGCGTGAATCTGAAGAAAATGGTAATTCGGATTTGCCGATCGATGACAATGAAGATTCAAAAGAGCTGATTGTTGTGAAAAAGGAGGAGCGCAGAGAACTGCAATTGGGCTTTCTTGATATCCTCTCGGAGACAGACTTTCAAGGCGTTGTAGATGAATCTTTTAGCCATGTAGATCAACTCGATCAAATGGATCTTGAGCCGCCAAATGCAAATAACGAAGAGGAGCAGGCGCTACAAGACCGTATCGAGGAGCGGCAAAGGGAGCTTGAACGCTTGGAGCGAACAGAAGAAGAGAAAGAGAAGAAGAGAAAAAAACATAAGAAAGAGAAGAAGAACGATAGCCATAAGAAGCGACGTCGCAGTCGTAGTCGCAGTGGCAGTAATAGCCCAAGTTCACACAAAAGCCGTAAGGAGCGACGATTACAGGAGCCTGATCGACCTAGTGGATCAAGAATGGGTTCCAAGTCCGTCATAAAAACTGAGCCCGATCAACTGGACTATGTGCCAGTGCGACCCGAGGAGAAGAGCATCAAAGTAATCAACATAAGCAAACTACAGCAAAAAGCACCAGAGGCACCACCAGCTCCGCTAACAGTTCAGGAAAAGCGTCGCCGGGGCGTGGAGCGGGCGAAGAAAGTGCTAGAGTTAATGCAACTCAAGGCATCCAAGGCACCGGAGACCGAGTTTCTGGTGGTCAACACCATTCGGAAACTACCAAAACTAGGTGGGTATATGAGCAGTCATACATTCGAGAATCCCTCGCCGTTGTGCAACAATTTCAATGTTAGATATAAGTTCAACTCGACATCGGTATCGAACATCAATTTGAAGAAGTGGGGCCTGGAGCCGTTGCCCAATGCGACAAGGGAGCTGCTGCGTCTAACCGGAATTAATGTGACACGTTTGATGGAGCTACAGCAGAACTCGAAGATGACCATTCAGCAGCTCAGATTCTCGCATCAGAAGGAGAACGGCAATTGCAGCAAGACAGAGGATGAATCGCTATCTACCGGTCTGTACAAGAGTGCATCAACCCAGACGGATCCTCGGATGATGAATCTCGGGCGGAATGTTGGTGTCCAGGCTGTTCCGCCATCGCATGAGGGCGTCTATTGGCTAAATTCTCGCTTCAATGATTCGGACCTAACGCAACAGCAAACGAACGTATTGTTGGCACTGAAGGAGCTCACCGCCTCGCCTCCCAGCTCGTCCTTATGGGCCGATCGTATATTCCGGGAACTGCGCAACGCCTTGGCGATCAAGCGCGTCGAGGCCCAACAATTGAAACAATGATCAACTAATTATTGCCAAAGTAATAACCACTTCAAATGCATTATGGAACAACAATTCCAATTTAAAACTAATTAAACATATGCTTGGATAAACAGATTTAAGTTTTCCATCATTTACTATCAGTAATATACATATAAAGTGCAAATACACGTATCCAGACCAAAGAAACGTGAGGCCAAATAAAAAATCAAATAATTAACAAAAATAGATACAACGTTTGTAAAATTAAGTATTAGATTAACGTGCCTTATAAATAAAAATAAAAGAATATTTTGTAATTAAATTTAGCTAATGGTTCATGAAACAGATAATTCTGGTTGGAAACTGCCAATTGGGAAATTGTTAATTCAAATGTTTATCGATAACCGAATGTGGCAGCATTTAACAACACTTAACAGAGATCCGGTATTGTCTGGCCACACCGTTACGTCCACGTAGAAAACAAACGGACGACATTGTCGACGTGCATATATTTATTTAAGATTTAAACATACAGCGAGATGCAATAAACAAAGATCAATTGAAAGGACCAGCGGACTGGCGCGCGCAGAGGCAGTGACTCTGTGCCTCTGACACTGACAACGGCTCCTCAATTGAGCAACTACAATAAGCACACACCAAGATATTTAAATATGTTGGGTGGTAAACGCACAAGCACCCGTCATGTTGCGGTCGTGCTATTGATGTGCCTCTTCTGGTACGTGATTTCGTCCAGCAACAATGTCATTGGCAAAATGGTGCTCAATGAGTTCCCATTCCCAATGACCGTCACCCTCATCCAGCTATGCAGCATCACCCTATATAGTGGGCCATTCTTTAATTTATGGCGAATACGCAAATACCAGGACATACCGCGCGCCTACTACCTGCGACTAATTGTCCCGCTGGCCATTGGCAAGCTGCTTGCCTCGGTCACCTCGCACATATCGCTGTGGAAGGTGCCCGTCTCCTATGCCCACACAGGTCAGTTGAGCAAAAGTCAATTAAATCGTAATTTACTTCACACGTCACCAAATGCTGAAAACTATTTGCAATTCTTGTTCTTCTTCCCCAACAACTACTGTACAGTTAAAGCGACCATGCCGCTTTTCACCGTCGTACTGACGCGCGTCTTCTTTGGCGAGAAGCAACCCACACTGGTGTACCTGAGCCTGCTGCCCATCATAACTGGCGTGGCCATTGCCACCGTCACTGAAATCTCATTTGATATGCTCGGCCTAATCAGTGCACTCATCTCGACCATGGGTTTCTCCCTCCAAAACATCTTCTCCAAGAAGGTAAGGCGATCGCTCACTCGCATAATCTCACTTGGCCTTCATTATCAAATCAATCGATTCTCTATGCAGGTGCTCAAGGACACGGGCATACATCACTTGCGACTGCTGCATCTGCTCGGCAAGCTGTCCCTATTCATTTTCCTGCCCCTCTGGCTCTACATGGACAGCATGGCCGTATTTCGGCATTCAGTTATTGTATGGCATTTATCTATAAATTCACCTTTATTGATTTCTAATTGTTATTTTCCTGGATTGCAGAAAAATCTGGACTATCGAGTGATTGCGCTGCTCTTCACCGACGGCGTTCTCAACTGGATGCAGAATATAATTGCGTTCAGTGTGCTGTCGCTCGTTACGCCACTTACATACGCCGTGGCCAGCGCCTCGAAGCGGATCTTCGTGATTGCCGTCTCGCTGCTGATATTGGGCAACCCGGTCACGTGGGTGAACTGTCTGGGCATGACGCTAGCCATCATCGGTGTGCTGTGCTACAATCGCGCCAAACAAATCTCGAAGGCCAGAGAGCTGCCGCTGCAGGTGCCAAGCAGTCATATTAAGTATACGCCGCTGAATGACAACTACTATCGCAGCTCGCTCAATGGCAACATTGGAAATGGCCTGCACAAGGCCTCTGCGACCGTACAAATGCCAATGACAATGCCCATGAGAGCCAACAGCAGCAGCAGCAGCATCAGCAACAGCTTGCTGGTGAACGGCAGCGGGATGCCAAGCGGGAGCACCACGCGCCTGCTGTTCGTATAGTTTTCTAATTAGTGCAATTGTGTTGGAATGAGGAGCTACAACATTCGTTTGCAACTCGCCGTCGCCTCACGTCTAGCGTTCATTGATGGTTGAGATAACAATTCTTATCAGACGGAGTTCGCTATCTACGGGCAATCCGAATAATTGAATAGTATTCCCGCATTCAAATCAAAAAATATCTAATGTGCTCTCTCTGCTCGTGTGACACATTTCGTTTGTAGTTTTCCCTCCGGTTTCCATTTCATTTCCCTTTCTTACCGTTGCTTTCCTGCCCATCCTTTCTTTTTTTTTTTTTTAAGTTATCTTGTATAAAATTGTATGATAATGAAATATGCGAGTGAGGCGGTATGTAAATAAGTATATGTATATGATTGAGACTGAATCCGCAACGGATTTGCCTCAGTTGCCGCTGAAAGGAATATTGATATATTGTTTTCTCAGTTCGAATTAGAATGATTATGCCTTAAAATTGTATGTATGTATGTATTTACAAAATCGAAATGCGAAATGCGTGCGTATTCAAAATTGTTGACCGTGTACATAGGCAATAAACACATGTATCTACTACGTTCTACTACGTACTATGTAAACCAGTCAGTTTTGGCTTTCACCTGGAACCGGGCCAGTGTTTATCCACTACCGCAACCAAATCCCAATCCCAATCCAAATCTAGGATGCGCCGGCTAGGCGGGCAGCAGCTTTATCCACTCGTTCACAATCGCTTTTTTGTAGCCAATGCGTTTGAGCAGCGCCTCCGAGCGCCAATTGTTGGACACAATCCACGCGGTTAACGTCACCTCTTCCTTTTTGGCAATCAATTTGCTCATGACGGCAGCCAGCAGCCCGCCAAGGCCACGGCGCTCCGCCTTGGGCAGCACCTGTAGCATACTATGCAAAAGAAAATCGAGACCTTAGCTAAGACTGCACATGGTACTCGCTCTCTCTCTCTCTCTCTCTCTCTATCTCTTTCTATCGCTACTTACCCGAGGCCAGAGAAGTCATTCTGGAATATCCAGGCAATCAGTTCGCCTGTGTCACTGCGACAGACACCCACGGTTCGATTGAACTTGATCAGTGCACGGATGTATGCTAGTGATCCTTCACCCTTGTTGGGCCATATCCCGTGCACTATCTCGGCATCCTCGTCTGTTAGCTGGCGCAGCTCGAAGTCCGTTAGCAACTCGGGCACTGTGACCACTTTGGCCTCGGCATGGGGCAATACCATGCCGTAGCACTGGCGTGCCTGTATTCCCGTTGCGCCCTTCTTCAGGGCCAGCTCTTTGACGCGTTCGCAAAAGTCCAGGTCGACATTGGTGAGCAGCGCACCGTTCGCCCATTGAATAAGCCGGGTCTGCTCCAGGCAGGCGAACAGCTCCACGCCACCTGGTTGCCAGCTGTAGAAGGAGACGCTCTGCACCACATCCTCATGCAGGCTCACATACGTGCCGTACTGCCTGAAATCGCCAGCTCGGTGCGTGTAGAAACGTTTGCGCAACGAAATGTAGTTAGGATCGGTTAGGGGAACGCCTGCTGCCTCAAGCTGGCGATCCCATTTACGCTGATTGTACATTAATAGATAATGAAAGTTAAGCTCTCCATATTTCGTCTTATAGAGCGCCATCAGCTCATCCACTTCGATATCGCTGAGTGGCCGCAAGATGTCCAAATCCTTATCGCCCATATTGATCGATGCCAACTGCTGATTACGCTTTCAAAGTTACAAATTGTCTGGCTTCGGCTCGCGTTGGCGTTCTTTAATTCAGCGAGCAAACCAGAAGCAATTGCATACAGGAGCGGATTTATAGTCAAGCAAAAACTATGATTGAAATATATTAGAATACATTTACCACGACATGTTTCAATTCTCGAAATTTAGTTTTAATTATGTAGTTATAAACTAAACCTACGGTTAAATCATGCTAAGGATCTGGTTCACTTAGCGATCACCATGATCGGCCTAACGGTTTATCATTGCTGTACATTGATTTAGTTTGTTTTTGTTATTTCATAATTTATTATTTATTTTACAATACATATAAATATAACAAATATAGCTATTTGTATCTTTTCACCGAAGTGCGGCCCTGTAATCAAGCACTTTAGGCGTGTTAGACTAACTAATTCAACTGATTAGATTTCCCGCAATACAAAATAAGCAGGGCACCGGACGTCGATGACGTTGCCTACATGCAAATCGATATGTTAATTTCGATAGGTTCAATCGGTCGGTCGGTGGCTTGCTCACCCGCCGATGACACAAAACATAAATTGAATTTCGAGCGCCAACAACAGCAACAAAGTAACAACGGTACAGGAAACGATTGAACCTAGCAACGCAGTGGCCTTTGTTTGTTTACAATCTGAATTAGTTGTATTCAGACTTACACATAGACATCATTAATATTTATACTATTTCAGCAATTATGGTGCGCAGTAAGTGTAACAACAACAGCAATAGCATTCGAATTCTTGACTTTGTAATCAAATTGAGCAACGCCTGCAGTTACAGAGGAGCTAGTTCGCAAAAAGTCGGAGCATAATGAGCGATTAATTAGCACGCTGGAGGAGCTGTCGCTGCATCAAGAGGACATTGAACGCATTGAACACATACAGAACTGGTGTCGCGATCTCAAGATATTGCTGCTGCAGTCTAATCTCATAGGCCGGCTGGAAAATCTGTTCAAGCTGAAGCGTCTGGAGTATCTCAATGTGGCGGTTAACAATATTGAGCGCATTGAGAACTTGGAGAGTCTCGAGTCGCTCAACAAGCTCGATCTGACGCTCAACTTCATTGGCGAGCTAACCAGCATTGAATCGCTAATTGGCAATTACAATTTACGCGAACTGATTCTGATTGGTAATCCGTGTGTCGAATATCCCCATTATCGTGACTATGTGGTGGGCACCTTGCTGCAGCTGCACAGCTTCGACTGCAAGGAGATATTGCCCACAGAGCGTCTGCAAGCGCAACGTCTCGTCCAACAGCATCGGGCTGTCATTGTCCAGTGCCAGGCGGCACAGGCCATCGAGCGGGATGAGCAAAGGATTCGCGTGGCCGAGCAGCAGCAGCAACTGGCCAAACAGTGCGCCGACATGGAGGACGAGGAGGAGCGTCGACGCACCTTCTGGAACTCCAAAAGCGAGCACTGCCCCGAAATACGCACGGAGATAGCGCGCCAGCACAGGCTTGGCCGCGAAAAGCACGAACCGGCACCAAATCCATTGACAACCAATCTCAAGCGAAAGCCGAATTTGTTTGCGCCCTGCGGACGACCCTACAACATCAACCAGGGCAAGTTGCCGTTTAATTTCCAAGATGAGGCCGATCACTATAGTCTGCTATTGGAAGTTTACAAGTTTGTATTCACAATTCGATATTCTGATGAATGATGATGAAGTGCATCTCTCACTATATTTGATCAATGACAGGCATCTGGACACATCTCTGATCGATGTGGACGTCGAGACAAACTATGTGCGCGTCACGGTCAAGGGAAAGATCTTTCAAATCGCCTACAACGAGGAGGTCAAGCCGGATGAGTCGATTGTGCAGCGTTCCCAAATCACTGGCCATTTGCAGATAACACTCAAGAAGCTCAAGGCCAACGAGCTGCTCGTCATCAAATCCGTGCGCACGCCGAAGAAAAGGTGAGTCAATAGATTCAGATCAGTGCCGGTAATAATATAAACTTGACGACTTGCAGTGCTCCCGCTCCTGGCGCTGCTGCTGCAAAAGAACCCAGCGGCACAGTCGATATTGGCAATATATGCCCGCCGCCCGATTTGCCCGACTTGATCTAAGTGAAGCACACAAGGATCTATTAGTTTTTTTTTTATTTAAAAATTGTTTATTTAAATATTTTGTTTTTTGTATTTTTTTTTTCTTTTTTTGGGATTTTCTGTTTCGTTGCTGCGCCTCTCGTATTCCTGCTGCCTTCTAGTATTCATAACTCCGCGCTGACCCAGCATAGTACCAGATGTCTATATACATATATATACACAAATGTATATATATGTAATTGCTTATATTGTATATGTAGTTACAATTCATGATGTACGTTCGTGTGTGTGTGTGTGTGTGTTAGTGTGTGAGGTGGATATAAAAAATGATGCAAACGCATAGTAAAAATTAAAATTATTATTTGCTTTTTTTTGTGATCTAAACGGGAATAATGTTGCTAAGTTATAGAAACCGTTTGCCAAAAAATCCTTACTCATGCTACGCAGTATATATTAATATATATGTATCAAAATGAGCTTTGGTTGATTAATTTTTATATACTTATATATATGTTTCGAGTCGGATTAAAATAAAAACAACACAAGAAAACCCAAAAGTCATTAAAAAAAATACGTGTGGTACGCTTTTTCGTTTTCCTGAATGATCAGTTTTATATAGATATATATACACATATATATGTTAGCATTTGAAGTTTGAACAGTTCATTCTGAGCCAACGGAAAGGCATCTCAGCTTAAGGGATTTCTCGTTTATTTCAGTCTCAGAGCGGCGCACTATAGTTTCGATCATAGAAAATGGATTGTATTTGGTATATGTCTAGTTTGTGGATCGGGAAGGAGGAAGGCTAGTATTATATTGTAATATTCATTTTTTTTTTTTTTTTTTTTTGCATTTTGTTTTTGCATTCAGTGCTTACAAGTTTATACTGCGGGAGTAAGGATCGTATGATCATTCCTGGGCCTGGCATTATTTCGTGAAGTTAATGGTAATCATATATATGCAGTCAATATTTTATATGTTCCTTTCGGTTTTTTTTTTTTTTTTTTTTTTTTTTTTTTTTTGGATAGCAACAATCTTGTATTCTCTCTCGCTCAATATAATATTTCGGTTTTTTTTTTTTGTTCTTTTTTTTTAGTTGTATTTTAAATAGTAAGTATTGTATTTAGCTGTGGTTGTGCATTGTATTTTTTTTTTAGTTCTTTTCTGTTTTCTAAATACAAGTATTTTTGTTTTTACTTTGCATTTGCGTTTTATTTTTGTTTTCTTATTTTGTTTGCTTAAGTCCTTTTGTTGTTTGTTTTGGTTTGTGGTTCCCATAGAAAACGTATAATAAAAAATGTGAACAAACAATAAAAGATATTTCGAAAAAAAGCGTTTTTGCGTCTTTTTGGTTACATTTTCATCTGGTTTTTCTTTCTCTCCTTTTTGTTTTTGTTGTTTGTTGTCTGTTGTTCTTGTATGCGTGTAGTTGTGTTGTTGTTGTTGTTGTTGATCTTATTGCGGTTAGACACAAAAATTTTAACAACATTTCACATGTTGGAAAACGAGGTAGGACATTGTTTTTGTTTCGATCATCTTTTGTTTTTGTTTATTTTGTTCTGTTCCTTATGCTGTCTCTTCTTCTCCTTTTGCGTAATTGTTTTGGTTATTTCAAAACAGAAAACACACACAATGGTTATTAAAAGCAGATAATTCAATAAATATATAACTAAGCGTCCGAATCAAGCGGCCGTCATTTCAGCGTAACGTTGCGAAACGAGTCAAATAAATTACAAATAGCAATACATATTTTGGTTATACCTTGAGACTTATATATCATAACGTTATGTGCCAACTAAGCTAAGGTGCTAACTGTGCCTGGCCCGGCCACAGGGAGCACGGATGAACTAAAATCTAATAGAATTGCCCGGCTGCTTCGCCCTATGCGTCACACATGTTCGTTGACCCACAGTCACAGTCACAGACGACCAAACACCAAGGATAGCTAGGCGGTTGTGGGATACAAATCGGCGTCCGAATATAAAACCATATATAAATA